TCAGGCTCTGGTGACTCGGGTACGTAGCCCTGGCCTACCATTGAATAAGGTCCACTGGCGCACTGAGAAAAGCAGCGCACCTTCATGATGTCAACATGACCTCTAACTACTCAGTGGGGAAAGCCATCTTGTTGATAAACTCATATCTTGAGCCTACTGCTGATAGGTTCATGAAGACTGCGTAAACCCCAAAGTAGAATATGGGGTAGTATTAAGGTTATATTGGGGTTAGCCCTAAACCCCTGAGCCCCTGACTCCCAAACCCCTAAACCCCTAAGCCCCCGAACCTTAAGCCCCTAAGCCCTAAATCCTTGAACAATAAACTTTGAAACCTAAACCGCGAACCTCACAGGATCCGTTCCTTGCAGAAGGTAGCCATATCTAAAATTCGCCAACATGGGCTGCTCGATCTCAACCCAGCATCGTTTGCCTAGACCCGGAAAGGACACCACCCAGGTCAACCGGGCGGAACCCCCAATGCAACCAAGGGAACTGTTCAGGTCGACTGAGGCGAGACCCACAGGCCGGCGGAACCAAAATGGCAGCAGCGAAGCAGGAAGTACTTATTCAAGCTTGAGTAGCACCCAATTCGGGCCCTTGAGGAATGTATGTAGATGGAGAGCTATCCACGGAATGGGCAGCGCAAACTTAGGGTTGAGGGCTTCATGGTTGACTGCATTACCCTATATGCCTAGAATCTTGGAATTGCGGGACCACAAGCGCAGTAACCCTAGGATACGTCTTTCCGAGGAATTATCAAAGTAAAGGGTCAACATGAGGTTGGGTGGCGATGGCTTGCTTCCGAGGAAGCACAAAGGAAATCTGGGCTTAGGGTCTAGAAGGGTCATGATACTACATGCGGACAACAGTTTTTGGGGGATAGCTTGTGTCTACAAGGACTCAGATATCGTATAGGCTGGGTAGTGCCTCTACCGGCTAGAAGCTTTCCAAAAGGGCAACTGTGATTACCACATCACAGCAACGAACTCCTATGATTGTGGAACTGGAAGCAGCTTTGACATGCTCTTTAGGACAACGTTGTACCCTGCATCCAACAATGTCCTACTCCCTCCCTCCGATCCTGTACCGGCCCCCCGAGAGCAAGTAATAAGAAGCATCATGCACATCAGTATGTCTAGAATGGCAGTACCAACAACTGACAACAGACAAAGAGCAAAATGATACAGAACGAGGAAACACTAGCTGTGGTGAGCTTGCCACTCCTTATCATCCTGCAGCAGATCTCTCATCTCGGCCGCGTTTGTCAGCGTCCCGTTGACCTGAAGCCGAGGTTTGATGGGACAGCATTGTATTGGGCATACATGTATGTATATATGTCTATATGTATATGTGGTTTCGGGGGAGGGAGTAAGACCTACAGACACCGTGAAGTGAACAAAACAGAGAGCCGATCTACTGCGACGAGCTCACAGTCTTGGGTCCAGTCAGATTGCTTCTCATGGAAGACTCGTACCCTGAACCCTTAACTCCTAGACTTTAAACCCTGAACACTCAACCCTAGACCCGAAACCCTCAACCTGGGCAACCATAGACACAAAATCTAGACTCCTAGCCTCCTAGACCTGAGAAACACCTAGCCCTAAACCCTCAACCCTAAACCAGGGGTTAAGAGGGACATCGGGGTTTTATATAAGGATATATGCGGGAATGTAGGAGTTATGGTGGAAACTTTAACCCCTGAAACACCCGGCCTCCTCCAGGTCATCCAGCAGCTCGATCATCAGCAGCTCGTCCCCTAGCTGCAAACCAAAAGATCTGGCGACCGTGGATTCCTGAGGTTTACAAGGCTTAGGGCTTAGGGTCATCACCTGTGCCATCCGGAGGCACGTTCGGTGATGGAAATGGAACAGGCTCATCTGTAAGATCAAATCCAACGTCTGGACCAACAGATGGTTTGGCCATAAATCCTTCATTCCAGAAAAGATTCATGGACCAATGATCAGCCTTCATGCTCATCAGACAAGGAATAAGCTGCGAACGCGTAACACAGAAAACATGATCATTGTCATTAAGGTTCCAAAGAATAACGACTGCATCAGGATGCCGCTGCAACAATGGAAGAGTCTTGCCACATGTTGCTCTGTAAACATTGCAGAATTCAAGCTCCATGTGACGAAGAGTCAAAAGAACCCTAGCGCTTTTCGAGCAAGGTTTGACAGAAAGAGCTTGCTTGGAAGTAGAAGTGTGAATCTCCATCTCAGTCCCAAGAAAAAGTCTATCAATCTCACTCAAGGCCTGAACTAAAGTAGAGGTGACAAACCTCCGAGGAGAGACGAACGGAAGACTCTTAGGCAACTTGCTCTTGTCAGTCTGCAAAGATTAAAACTCCTCCGTTGTAGAAATAGCAGACAAGGCATCACAGTTCCTATCTGATCTGAGACTGAGTGCACGCCAGTAAGTTTTCTCTGATCAAAATATCAAAATTGAAAAACAATCTCCAATCTTTTAACTTTTTGGATGGTGGATCAGAGAAAACTTTTGAAACCATCATTGATCTCTGATCCAGGCCTTCCAAAAAATTATGACATGTCTAAATTTGTATTTTTTGGATGGTGGGTCAGAGAAAGCTCTTGAAACCATCTCTGATCTCTGATCCAGGCCCTCCATTGTTTCAAAACATTCCTTTTGGCCCTGTCTAATCCAATTCAATATTTGAAATTTAGTACGTGGCAATTCTATCCCATATGTCCCTACTACAGAGCTGAGTCTGAGAAAAGGGCTTTCATTATTTAGCTATTTGCCCTTGCTCCCGTTCTTACCAGTACTGCTGTCACTGTTACACTTGTGATGTTAATACTGCTATTCCTATATTCACTACGATGATTTTCATTGCTACTATCTACATTACTCATACCATTTTTTTTATAATCGTCATCATAAGAGTGCTGCTATTACAAGTGTTTTCTTTATTGCCACTACTAGTTAAACGACTACTATTAAAGACGAGACTGTTGCGGGTCCATACTTTTGACAGGTTGGCACGACTGATACCAGCCATGTTTTTTCATAAAGCATGGGTTGCACCTATTGCATGAAATCCTAAACAACCAGCAACTCCTCAATCAGGTAGCTATTGGAACCAAGCCTGGGTTCCTATGAACAGAATAGGAATCGCTCTTATCCACAATAAACATATAAGAGACATGCAACTGACTTGAGATAAGTGGAAGCTCCAGTTCCTTGCAAGTGTTTTTTTGTGATCGCATAGAAAGTCAACAGAATCAACTGGAGCTTAAGTTCTCTCCTCCTATGGAGAAGGTTTTGAGTTTTTAGTTCAGACACTTTAACCTGTGTTCCTATGAGCAGAATAGAGTTCGCTCTTCTCCACAATAGAGACTCAAGAAAGATGCAATTGATTTGAGAGAAGTGGAAGCTCCAATTCCTTGCAGGTGTTTATTTTTTAATCGTATAGAAAAGTCAACAGAATCAACTGGAGCTTGAGTTCTCTCCTCCAATGGAGAAGGTTTGTCGCTTTAAGTTCAGAAACTCTAACCTGTGTTCTTATTGAATGAATAGACTTTAGAGAAAGTTTTGTGTTTTATTTCAGACACCTTCTTTTTACATTTCAAGTAAAATTCTTTTGCTTAACCCCAAAACTACCAAAGAAAACACTAGCGTCCACAGCGTCCCCCTCCCCAGAAATATATAGATATATACATGTAAATGTGGACATGCTTCGTGCCATGCTTCGTGCCCAGGAATCATATCAAATGGGCAAGCGAAGAGCCCATATGAAGGGCCCATACCTCCAATCCTAATTTCTTTGCGTAGGTGTTTACCAATATTATGGTCCTAGGTTCCTTGTATGGTTGTAGTATAAACCCTAAACCCTAAACCCTAAACCCAACCCTAAACAATAACAACCCAGATCGACTTCGAGATGATAGTAGTACTGCTGCTCACTGGAGAGGTGGGGAGGGTTTAGGGTTTAGGGTCTAGGGTTTGGGGTTTAGAGTTTATAGGGTTTAGGGTTTAGGGTTGGGGAGTAAGGCTCACGCGTGATCATGCGACAACATACGCAGCACGAAGTCTTCCTGGAAATAAACACAGCCCCTATCATCGTTACGAATACGGACTCCCCCAAAGCACTCACCCATTCCCTTTTGCCCTAAACCCGTGAATCATACTCTAGTGGGTTTAGGTTTAGTGGTTGAGCAACATATTTTCCCCAATTGTTTAGTACCTTGCATGGTACTCTAGTCCCGTTACTACTATCTATGGCTCCAATCATAATATAATGGTCGACCGCTGAATTTGCATGTATGAAAGAATCACTAGAAATCTCACTCTCCACTCTTAGGGTCTACTTGGAGGGTCAGCGGGACTTAGTAAGTGGGTTAATAACACCTATAACCCATATAGTAACCCTAATTATCCCCATTGTTAGCCCACTTACTAAGTCCCCCTGACCCTCCAAGTAGGGCTTAGGGCTTCAACAACCCTACACCCGAGAACTCAAGTTCTAAACCCACAGCCCTACCAAAAAAATAGCTTCCATGTTCTTGTCCCTTTCTCCGTCCCACTATCTAGAGCACCAGGGCTGCCCCAAAACGCCACCATCAAATCCTTCAAGGCTTTAAGGCTTAGGATATAGTCCCCCCTTATGTAGATAGAATATGGGGTATAAAGGGGATCTTGTTTTAATATACCCAAAGCCATATTCTATCTACTTAATTGGGACTATACGCTCAAGGTTGAGGGGTCTTGGGCATCTTTAGAGCTTCGGATTTAGGGTCTAGGGCTTCTCATACTGGACGCTAGACTATAGGCCCTAAACAACAAACCTTGAACCCTAGGGTTTAGGGTTTTAGGGTTTTAGGGTTCAGGGCTTAGGGTTTAGGGTAAACCCTGAGCCCCTAGGTGTCCTGCCTTTTCGAGCTGTTGTTCCAATTTTTCAAAGTATGCCAAGGAAGGAAAGAAGGAAATCCAGGGCCCAGCGAAGACCCTAAACCCTAAACCCCAAGCCGCATTCCTCGCGCCTGAAAGTTGAACATGCAGAATATCGTCTTCTGCGGCTTAGCCTGGCGAGCAGCTCCACTGTTATTTCTTCGGGCTTGCGTGGGATGCAGGGTTCAGGGCTCCCACTATCTCCCCACTCCCCCCTCCCCCCCTCCCCCTCCTCGCCCAACCTCCGCCCCCCTCCAGGCTCGAAGCTTGCGAACATGACCTATTCGTGTGCTCCGCGCCCCGCCAGCTGAGGCGGGCGCGCGATAGCGTTTATGATTGTAAACTACCCAAAGCCATATTCTATCTACTTAAGTGGCCCTCAACCCTAAACCCTCAGCCCTAAATTGTAGTTTCCATTTTCTCTTCCATTATCCCCATATAACCCCAATAATTCTACCTACTGACTGGGGACTATATCCTATAGGGACCTTCAGAATGTTTTGATTTCCACGGGATTCAGGGGTTGCCTCTTCAGATCAACATATATTGGCCTTCCAGCTATAGTTCTGCAATACCCAAATCGGTCTAGGGCTTAGGGCTTAGGGTTTGGGGTTTAGGGTCCATTCGACTGGCAGGCTGCAAAAACAAGCGTCAGACCCCCTTACCGCTCTAGTAGGGTTTAGGGTGTAGAGAATCGGGGAGTGGGGCGTGGATTGCTGGGTTGCTGTGAAGGAAGCTGATTTGTTACTATAGCAAGGAACCCCCATCAGATTAGGGTTTAGCGTTGAGGGTTACCATAACAAGGAAACCGTAATATTTATTCTAGACCCATATTGTAGTAATTTAATTTAAGTCCCTTCAAAGCAACCCAGTCTTTCTACTAATGGGCTCCCATGCTGGACACCTGCTGCTATATGTGCTCACCAGTATTCCTAGGAACCGGTACGGTACTGCGTCTTACAGATACCTGCAAAAAAGGAACCCTGGCTTCGGAATCCCTATATAGGAATTACTATGCCAGCCTCAGCCGCCCCTACGAATCCCCTCCGCCAAAAAAAGCCCTAGACCCAAAACATGAACCAGCACTTAAAACTAGGGCTTAGGGATTGGGATCAGCTCTCCCGGCACCCCACAAGGTGGTTATACCCTAAACCCTCTTGTATGGTAGAGAAACTGGAACTAAGGCTTAAGACCAACAAGATCAACCTGCTGCTCCACTAGGACCAACCTATTCCTAGAAATATGAATATGGTAGTTTCCCTAAATAGGGGCACCCCAATATAGACCCCAAAATACTATAATCCTTACTATAGGGGCCCCCAAAAAGGTACCCCCTAATTTTGGGAAACTGCCATATATGGTTTAGGGTTTAGGGTTTATAGATGAATGTGTGATGGTACTATGCGGGGGGGGGGGTGATTTTTAGAGGGTGGAATTAGGGCGCACCTTTTTCAGTCCAGACTGTCTCCACAGCAACGAGAAATAATTGGGAAACTTTGGGGTATGAAGGCATACAGTGCGTTGGACCAAATGGATCTCTTCGGGCCGAGAACTTAGTGCTCCCTGGTTTACGGTTTTGGGTCTGAGCAGCTACGTGTCAGGGTATGCCCTTGAGGGTTTGGGTCTGCTTCAAGGACCTGCACTGCATGGAGAACAGGTTCAGGTAGCTAGCCTATCTTGCATGCTACTGTACCTTTGTCAGGTTCTGGGTCATCAAAAATGTGTGGGCATCGCGGGGTTAAGGTAGGGGCCCCTCTAAGTGGGTACACTTCGATGGAGAGGGAGTTAGCTATGAATTTACGTAGCCTAAACCCTAAGCCCTACCTTTCACTGGATCTCATTGCAGCTTACCTGCGGGCCCTCCAAGCAAGCCCTAAACCCCACATGCTCAGGGACTTTAGGGTTTAGGGTTCCATAGGCCATGATGGAAAAGAGCATGGAAACTACTATACTGGGGTTATATAGGGTTTAGGGTTTAGGGTTCAAGTTTGTCCTTGGTTTAGAGTTTACGGCCTGGGGATAGTTAGGACTTCCGGCTTTTTGGTTCAAATGAATCCTCCGAATCGGTACCTGCCCCAACGTCCCACACGGGTGGTTCTCAAAAAGCTGAATCACACGGTTTGGGAAACCCTAAACCCCCAAACCCAGTACGGGTTTTGTTTCCTATCTGCACTTCATTTTTTGGAGGGTATACGGGCGACAACTGATGTGAAAAAGGCTAACGCACAGCTGCAGCCCCTGAAGCCCATCTGAAACCCTGCACCCTAAACCCCAAATCCTGGTGGCCTTCACTTTACCTCGCCCAGGCGGTTTGCCGTCCTTGGTCTTGTTCTTGGAGTCGGGCTTTCCATCTTTCGCCTTGGTGTCTGCACCCATCCGCGGTTGCCTCAGGTTCAGTGCTCAGGGTTTGGGGATTTATCCCACTTGGAGGGTCAGGGAGACTTAGTAAGTGAGTTAATTAGGGGGATAATTGGGGTTATTATACGACTTATAAGTGTCATTAACCTACTTGCTAAGTCCCCATGACCCTCCAAGTAAACCCTAAACCAAGGGGCATGGGCATTTTTCCGCTACGCACATTGAATGTAACAGTACCGCACTGTTCACTTCCCCCTAATAATAACCCCCTAGCCCCCCCCCCCTATAATTTGATCATATGAACGATAAACTCAACTTCTTGAAGGGTTATTGTGGGGGTTATTAGTGGGTGATACTAGGAGTATAGCTCATATATGAAGGGGAATAATTTCCATACAGAAGTGCAGGATTTTACTGAGGGGGAGGGGATTATTCTCAACTGTAAGGTGTTCAAGTTTCTGGCTTGGAAGGTGACGAGAAGGGGTCAGTGCGTCAATGCTATCTTCTAAGGTTGAAAGCATGGGTCCCTAATATTGGCCCTTATCCCTGGGATCCGTATATACCTACTATATACCCTATATGTACCCTTAAGGGTCCCTAAAAAGGCCTAAGGGCCCATATTAAGGGCCCATACTTAAGGCCTTAGATATCTATACTAGAATTAGGGTTCCCTAGGGAAATCATGTTGAAAAGAAACATGGAAGCTACTATACTGCAGTCTTTAGCGTGAAAGGTTTAGGGTGGATGGGTGTGCGATTCAGGGTGGAGGTTGGAATCACTGCATGATGCCCCTCACACATCCCCCTGAGGGCGATCAGTTTACAGTACTCTGCTGTACCCTAAGCCCTAAAACCCCAGGTTTTCAGCCTACCTGCTGAGTTGCAGGCCGATGGGCAGTTCTCCCTCCAATCCTAGGGCTCCCTCTACATAAGCCGGCGGCCCTACACGAGTCTACCAGAAGGAACTAACATGTTGCGGGCAAGTTGAGCAGGTAGGTTGGGATTCTGGTCGGCTTTAGGGTTTAGGGTTCAGGGTCGCAGCAACCGAGACTTACAAGTAAACCCGATCGCATCCGGAGTTCGCTAACTGGCACGATCAGGCTGACTGAGCCATGATGTGATATACAACTTCAACAAAACAGCCTCCATCCTAAACTGTGTCCCTTTACACTGCGCTGCCCGTCTGTGTCCCTGTGGAAATTACAGCACCTAGCCTCAAATCCTGATGACTTTAACCGAGTGCCTAAACTTTCAAGGTGTGCGGTTTAGGGCTCATAAGGTTTTGGGGCGTAGGGTTTAGGGCACTGAAACTAGGGTAGACTCCTGAAAATCCTGAACCATAAACCCTCAACTCTAAACCCTAAAACCAAAATACGACATATGAAGGAACCCTGAGTTACGGGTTATAGGGTTACGGGTTAAGGGTGAAGGGTTAAGGGTGAAGGGTTTAACGTTCAATGAGCTATAGAATTTTACTTACTAGAAACCCTTAATAACCACTATAATTGTCCCCCATGTGATGGCCTTCATAACCCCCTTCAAGGAGTTTAGACTAATCATGGCTCACATGAAGGAACCCCGAATTTAGGCTAATTAGGGTTATAGAGCTTAAGGCTTTTGAAGGACTCTACACCCTAAACACTAAACCCTAGACCCTGAAATTTCGGGGTTTTCTGAGGATATGGCGACAGAACCACCCGCCTCCAAGCCCCTGCCCGCGAAAATTGTCAGGAAATGAGTTCATTCCTTGATCTGAAGAGCAGCGCAACAGAGCATAGGGATTTAGGGCTTGGGGGTCTAGTGTTTAGGTAGGCTTACTGTAGGGTTCAAACTTAGGGCCCTGAACTCTGAACCCTCAACCCTAAACCCTGAACACTTGACCCTAAACCCTGATACCTAAACACTGAAGTACTCCCTTGAATTAGACTTTTCGGTGCAGGGATACTAGATCGGAAGCAATTATACAGTTTAACCACGGCTTATGCTACCAGAATTATGGTGTAACAGTGTACATCTTCAAGCTACCCCTGAAGCCTAAACTCTATGGCTTTTCCGGCTGTGGAGTTCGCGCTGAAGGGCTGCGAGATCCCTTAGAGGCTTATAGGGCCACGGCTTAGAGCTTAGGGTTAGCCCCCTGAGGTAATGATCTGGGGTACAACGTGTGGAAAGTACAATTGGGTTGGATTTCGAGTACATTACTTCAAATTGGAGGAAGCTGTGTTTTCGCATGTCATGACGTGCACTATACTAAGGGGATCTCCCTACTGAATTATCTACAGCACGGCTGAATGTGGTCCCTAAACCCTAAACCCTAATCCAAAAAGCTGGAACATCAGCATCCTTCCCTAAACCCTAAACCCTAAACCCAAAATTGCACAAGCAGGCCAGGCTTCATACTAGAACACCTGCATGACCCTCAGTACCTATTATCCCTTGGAAATTCTGGTCTTATGGTGTCTAAGGCTGTGTAGGATTCTTAGTATCAACCGTATGTCCAGGTTCCTGCTCGTCTTCGCCCTTAAAGTCTTGGCCCTCATAGGCTCGAGGCCCTCAACCCTGAAATTTAGACCTACAATGGCTGGTTTTGGGTTTAGGGCTTAAATCCACATTCAGAAATCGAACTGTCTCCAAGGATGGCACTTTCTTCGGAAGTACCCATATCTAGCCCGCCTAGGAAAAATTCAGATCACAAAGGGATTATGGAGGTTCGGCTTGAACGGCATTGTCAGAAATCCCGTATAATTCAGCCAGAAACTCCCTAAACCCTAAACCCTAAATAGTAGTTTCCATGTTATTTTCCATCATCCCTATAAACCCCCAATCAAACCACAGTTACCCCAAACAAAGCGACCGTCAACGCAGGCCGAGCAGCACCAACCCCACGAACTCAATCTTTTTTTTCAACCTTACACCCTAAATCCTAAACCCTGAACCCTAAACCCTAAACCCCGAACCCTAAACCCTAAACCTGTTTAGAGTTCAGAGTTTGGGGTGTAGTGTCTGGGGTGGCGCAGACAGAGCGAAAAGATACTTTAGAAAGGGGAAAAAAGTGAGAAAGTCCGGGGCAAAAATTGCCGGGACGGAAAGCCCCCCTAAACCCTAAACCCTAAACCCTACAAAACCCTTGTTTGATAAGCAAGCGTGGCGTACTCGCAGCATCCTGCGGGCGTAAATCCTGAACCGCCTTGAACTCCCAAGGGTTTAGGTTTAGGGTTTAGGGTGTCGGCCACGGCTTCTTCTTAATCCTCAGTTAGGTGGACCCTTTACCCAGTAATAGTGGCTGGAAGGGATACTGAGGATTACATTAGGGTCCTCTTATATTCCTAGTATACCACAGTACAGCTGGCAGATGCTGTACAAGAGGCAGTAATCCAGGAACAGGGCATACGGGTGGTGCACAACAAGAGTTTCTCAAAATCTAGGATCGCCCAAAAGAATCTACCCCTCAGCATAGCGGCGGCCAACAAGGGACCATTTGTTTGAACCCCCGCCGGTAAGTTTTCTGTGTTTGCTAGAAATGCATGAAAATAGGTGGGCTTAGAACCGCTGTAGATTAGCTTCTAACACTGGTTTTTGACCACATGCATGACCCTGGCTAGAAGTACCCTTGATCCTCTCACTATGTGGCACTTTGGACACCTACTAAGGGTTAACCCTTAGGTATCTAAAATAGGAATATCAGGCAATCCCAAACGGTTCAGGGTCCAAGGTCCAAGCTGATCCCCAAACCCCTACACCCTAAACCTGAATCCCGCAAAAAAAAATAAACCCCCTAAACCTTAAACCCGAAGCCCAAAACATTACACGCTAAACCCTAAACCCTACACCTAAATCTCCAAAACCCTAAACCCTAAACCCTCAACCTTAATCCCCAAAACCCTAAACCCTGAACCTTAAACCCTAAACCCTAAAACTTAATCCCTAAAACCCTAAAACTTAAACCCTAAACCTCAAATCCTAAACCTTAATCCCCAAAACCCTGAACCTTAAACCCTAAACCCTAAAACTTAATCCCTAAAACCCTAAACCTTAAACCCTTAACCCTAAACCCAAGGAGCTAAGTATCAGTTAAGATAGCCCCGGGATGGTGTAGGAAGGGGTCTAGGGTGTAGCAACCGGGCATATTTGGGGGTCAGGGGCACTTAGGGGGACTTAGTAACGATGGAAAAGAAAATGGAAACTACTTCATATAGGGTTTAGGGTTTAGGGGTTTAGGGTTTAGGGGGACTTAGTAGGTTTATAATGGAGATATTCAGGGTTACTAAAAGGGTTATAAGGGTTATATACTTGCCTACTTGCTATATAAGTCCCCCTGACCCTGCAAGTAGTGTCCCTAGGCGCTCACCTTCCACCGACTTACTGCTGGACCCGTTTCTGCAGCGGGGGTCAGAATAAGAAACGAAACTATTCAGAATTAGCTATTGTTGGAGGGGGGTCGGAATACTAAGAGTAGTAGCCCAGAACCAAAACTGCTAAATCCATAACTAAAGCTCAAGAGAAGCACGAAAGACACAGCGTGCAGCTTAGAACAGGATACAATTAAAACTAAAAGGCCCGGCTTAGGAGGTTCCAATTCCAGAGCTCTAGCACCAAAGCCTTTACCGGCCTGTAAGGCCAGATCTTATCCGAAGTCCAGAAACTAAGATACCTCAGCTCCATATGGTAGTTTCCCTAAATTACTGTTCCCAAAATGGGAAATTGATATAGGGCCCCGTATTATAATGGGAACCCAAATATAGGACCCCGTATTATAGGGAATTTAGACCAATGCCCATATACACCGCTTTTTTTTTTTCGGGGAATACATGCAGACACACACAAGGCGTTAATCTGGAGTGCTGTTGAGGAACTTAATTCAAGTCACTGTATTGGGGACACCCTGTTATTTCCTATACATACCCATTATGCAACTTAATTTAAGTTTCTTAATAGCAACCCAGTAGTTTTTGCGGGAATACTCGCCGAGGCGTGGATTCACTGCAAGCAATTGTTTTGCCGGATCAGGATAAGAGGAAACTT